TTAAGATGAGAAGAATTTTGTGGTTCTGTTTGCTGCCTGGTTCACATTCGTTGGTACTTCTTGGTGTTTATTCTATATTTTATGCCAAAGGGGGAGTCAATAAGTACTTAACTTACCAATAAGTATTTGCATTTGTGAAAAGTAAACAAATATTTGCATCTATTTCTGGATGAATACAGGTAAGATGGTTTAAAAAGAGATAATAAATACAATTTATGTGAAAAGAAAAATTTAAATCAAAATAAGAATACAAGTAGAATTAACCTTGTTTCTAAAAAGCATGAGGACTTAAGTGAGAGGCTAAGAATGTAGTTCAGAAGTGTATGCTTGCCTACTGTGCAAGGCTCTCAGTTCAATCTACACACACGCACGCACGCACGCACGCACGCACGCACGCACAAACCTGATGGATAAGTTCTTGATTGATCACAAGTTATACAACATTTTAATGGGATTATTTCCTTCTGACAATGCTTTATTGAATTCATGGGGCTTTTCACACTGGCTTTGGAGTACATTCCTGTAGTGAATAAAGCTGCTGTGGAGCATGAAGATGCTAGAAGTTAGGGTGTGCTTGGACACCAGAGACTGGAATGTCTAGATTTTGCTGGAAGATGTAGCCATGACTCTTTCAGCTGCTTCTGGGATAAGCAAACACATAGATGATGGCCGAGAGAGACCAAAACAATTGCTGCCCAGCTTTGGATCTGTGCATTGGTTTTCTTAACTAAAAGTTATATACTTCATTTCTAGTAGCTTGGACATATTCTCTTTTTCCCTTTTCCCGATCTCTATCTGTTCTCACAAATGCGCCTACCCTCTCGTCAAACTCACAATCCTCTTTTGGAGGGCACCCTTCTGAGTGCTGGGGTGACTGGTGTGCACCACCCTTTCTGGTTACTTATAAACCCTTCTTAGGGAGTGTTACTCATCCACATGATTTGTTTTTGATGTCTTTTTTTTTTTTTTTTTTTTTTTTTAGAAAGCTTCAATTGTACAAGAATATATTAAGTGCATATTGGGCAACTATTTCTGACATTTATCAGCAATGGACAACCTTGTTTTACAGCCTGCTCTTTACAGTACTGAGTCTAATTGGTAACAAGCATATTACTGATTTGGCGGTTTAACACCAAGTTTGTCAATTTTGAAAACTCCGTCAGCACAAGAGAGAAATCTTGCCAGTTTTGTTGACCACCTGGAAGATTACATCTAGAATGATGAATGAGTCTGCCATAGAGCTAATCTGCTGTGCTCAAGGACTGGCCCAGTTTCGGGAATCAGGAAGCACCAGAGAGACTCAAGGCATAGTGGGATGGTTTTCAGGACAATATCTCAGTACACTGTTCAAACAAACCCCCTACAGTCTGACATCTTTGTGGGAGTTAGGGGAACTCAGTCAGGAATTTCTTTTCTCCTCTAGAAAAGGCAACACAAATTTAGCCAATTTAAATTAATGGGTAAGAAATCTAGCTATTGACTGGATTGATTAAACTAGTGCCAGTAGCCTTTTTAGATTTAAGATAATTTTTTTTTCTGGCACCAGAGAACAGACTCAGGGCCTCACACATGTTAGGCAAAAGTTCTACCCCAGCTTCATCTCCAGCCCTGAGATAATTTTAAGATAAAAGTATTCACAGCAATTTTATAGGCTATATAATTCTTCCATTTCCTAAGGCCTCACAAAAGACTTTGCTTCTTCAATAAACTTCTAAGCACCTATGATATTTGCTATTTTATTTTTTGATAATTTTGGTGGATGCATATACCATGTCTTATCTGACAGGAATCTCCTTAGAATTATGCTTGTCTTCAGTTTTCCAGATACTAGGAAGCAAACAATGATAGCGGCCCAGAGACAGTATCGCATAAATAACACGACTTTCAAACACAGCCCTTAAAACTCTCATTTATAATAACCACACACAAGGTAAATGTTAATGTCTTGCCATAACATTCAAATCGTATTTTATTTTTGCATTTTTTATCATGTGCATGTGTATGTATGAATATTTTGCATGTTTTGTATGTGTGGGCCACTTGTGAGTGCATGCATATGGTTGATGTCTGGAATCATCTACAATGACTCTTCTACTTTATCCATTGAGGCAAGATCCTCTCAGTCAAAACCAGAGTAGACTCATATGTCTAGTCTTGATAACCAGCCTGTTCTGGGAGTCCCTCATCTCTGTCTTTGAGACTTGGGTTCAGGGGATCACCACACCTATTCAGCATTTACTTGGATTCTGGGGATTGGCACTTCCATTCTCATGCTTGGGAAACAAGTTCACCAGCCATCTTCCCTGGTCATGAACTTTAAATTTTGTTGAAATTTAAGTCTCCTATGAATCACCACATATGCAGTGTCAATTTGAAGGGCATGTTAGTAAAGACAGAGAAGGCATATAAGGCAGTGATAAAAATTAGGACAGCAGCTACAAATTTATCTATCCTCTCAAAAGTATAAATAACAAGGTGTAAAAGATCATGTAATTTTTTTAAGCAGAGAAGCAAATTAAGACACGAAAATAAATGTCTTTCTCCTCAACTCATTTTTTAATGGCTGTATGGAAGAGTGGGCAGTAGAAAAGAACATTAGATAATTATTAGCGTTGCACCAAGATTTGCTGGCTGCAATTCACACACCGTAGTGAGTGTCATATGGGACTAATCAGTTGTTTGCAAAGCACTTGAAACGCCTGTGTTTGGCTGCCACTTGTTCACTGCAATTTTCCTACCACATCCCCTCCTTTGTCCTCCCTGTAGTGGATGGATGGGCTGTTCAAGCACGGAGCCTCAGTTATCAGCCACATGCTGCGGAACTAAAGATCCCTCAGGAACCTGGGATAATTGGACATGTGTCAGCAGTAGCAACTCATTGCTGGAACCCCTAGGAGATACACAGCGTGCCCACGTTCACCACCTGCAGGAGCTGAGAGGTTTTTACTCCTGAACGCTGCTGCTGGGGAGAACCGGTCATGCCAGTTGTTATCTTCAGTCGCTTTCAACCAAGCCCTCCACCGCTACTTCCGTTTCCATTAGACGACTTCAAAACTTATTCTTGATTAAAATCCAAACATTGTTTTTCCCCATGATAGGAATCGCCCTTGTGTACTGTGTGTTTAGCTCTCTTAATTCCTGTGGTTCAGGAGCGATTTTAGAATTTAAACTTGTGTCCAATAAAAGTGGATGCTGCAAAAATAATCAGACAATGGGCATCTCTGAGTCTCCTGTCGCAGTCACTTACAAACGGCACCGGAGTGTTTGCCAAAGAGCAGGCACATGAGATATTTCTCACCTGCTACAGCATCTTGGTATGAACACCATCCTTTGCTACATTTTTTATGGAGGAGACTTTTATTTATGTGACTGCTGCTTAAGATTTCTGGGGGGTATACACCATCCCTCATACACAGAGTTTAGACTTGTATTCGGCTTTGACCCTCAGGAGTGTTGGGGCTGCACTGAACCATACCCTACTGCCTCACTGTGTGCTCATTTAAGATGGGCAACATTTGTTTCAGAGGGTCTTGCTGTGTGCTCTTAATCACCAAACAGCATGAGGCTAACCTGCTCAAAACAAATCCCCATGAACCCTGCGCTCCTCATCTAACCACAGGGTTAGTCTCAGGCAGGAGGTGAACACCGGCAAACTGTGTGTCTTCTGGGGGTTTCAACAACTATTTTTTTTTTTTGCTCTCAATTATATACTCAATTGAATATTGAGTATTGTTTCTCTCTGTAGCTCTGAAAGAGTTCCCTTCACTAAATAAACTCAACTATTTTAGCAAGATTGTCATATTTATTTCTATCCCCTTTAACTTACTATCAGTGAAAAGTAGACGTCTTTCTGCGATTACACCCATTTTGCAAGGGTAGTTTTGGTCACTTCCCATCAGCTTTTGCTCTAATTTCCTTGCTGTTTTGTGTGCATGTGTGTGTGTGTTCACACGCATGCATCTGTTCATGTGAGTGCAGATGTGTGTGCAGGCTGGTAAACAAGCCGGGGGGGGGGGGGTACTTCCTCAGATGTCGTCCATCCCTCTTTTGTTCATTTTCTTCTGTTTTGAAGCAAGTTCTCACTGGCTTTGAAACTCACCAAGAACCTTAAGTGGGATTGCTCAGTGAACCCCAGGGAACAAGATCCTGCTGCCCCACACTGAGTTATAAACATGGGCTGCTATGCCTGACATTTTTGTGTGTGGGTTCTAAGGATCAACCTCAGTCCCCATGCTTATAAAGCAAACCCATTACTGACGGAGCCGTCTCCTAGCCCTTTGTCTGGTTCTTTATTAAGGCAATTGTTCATTACATCCAGAATATAATTGGAAAATTGTCACAATTATCTTTGCTGTTGTGGAAAAGTTGAAGAAATTGAAAACCCACTCTCTTTGGTTTTCTGTATGAAATATACAGCAAACCTTTAAAAAGGGAACATGAATCTCCTTAAAAGCTTAGCAAGAAAGGTTAAGCCTTGCATGACCTTCAGAGGGGAGCGGAAACCCCAGAAATTGTGAAAAACAGTTTTAGGTTAAATCAGAATAATGGTGGTCCTTATTCACATTATTCTGAAACTAGAGCAGAATCTAAATCATATTTACATTTTAACTCCCCCAAACCAGTGTTTTACCCTATTTTTGCAGCAAAGGCTCAGGAAACTTCAACCTTTTAAAACTACACCTGCCTATCAATTGGAAAATGCTTAAAAAACATGGTTAAAAACAAATTAAACCTCCCACATTTAATAAAGAATGTAACTGTGTTGCAACTTCCTTCCTCTTAGGAGAAAAAAGTGACACAAATGAGTAATTTTTAAAGGAGTATGAAAAAGAGGGATTCAATCTCCAGTTATGCACACAGAGAAACACACAGACACACACAGCAGAGAACGATTGTTCAAGTGATTTACATGAATTTCAGAAAATTAGTGTGTGTGTGTGTGTGTATGTGTGTGTGTGTGTGTGTGTGTGTGTGTGTGTGAGAGAGAGAGAGAGAGAGAGAGAGAGAGAAGGAAGTGTGGGGGCGGGGACTCATGCCACCATTCAGCATGGAGGTCAGAGGCCATCTTTATTGAATTGGTTCTTTCCTTCCACCTCTGATGGGTCTGGAGAATTGAACCCAGGTCAGCAGGCTCTCGTGTCAAGCACATCACTCACTGAGTCAGTTCAGTCTTCCTTTTGTATAAATCCTAACTCAAAAGCTTAATGTTTTATTGATTATCAAGACTTAAGCGTTTGACACGTTTTTGCATTTGATACATTTATTGCTTCTTTTCTCAGTTAGGTCTGTGAGGAAAGATACAAACAAAGCCCCTGACTTGAAAGATTTCCAGGCAAGTACAGACTTTCTGGACTGCTTTGAGAGTATATGGTGTCTTAGTTGTGTTTCTATTGCTATGAAGATACACCATGGCCAAAGCAGCTTATAACAGAAAACATTTAGTGGGGCTTGGCTTACAGCTTCAGATGGTTGGTCATTCTCATTTAAACCACCACGTCTGGAATTCCCAAGTCCCTCTCTCTCTTCTCCTGGGGGGAGAATTTGAGGCTGTGGTCCCCTTATATTCTCAGATGTATGCCTAAGGTTCAGTAATATTTCTTGGTTGGCACATAGCACCAACTTTTATTTTCAAAAGTTTGTAAAACTCAGGAGTAAATATTGATTTAAAATTTTCATTGCCATAGGCTACTTCATTTCCCCCTGACAGATTACAAACTACAAATTTCTAAGATGAATAGAATCAGAACCTGCTATATTGCTGAAGAGAGGGACCTAACATGTGGTCCTAAGCCAATGATTCTGGGGCCCAAATAATTGAGTTTACACATTTCATATTTAGGGAGAGCTTGTGGGTTCTAAGAATCATGATTATGGGTGTTCTATTAATGAATGTACTTTCTTAGCAGATTCTTACACTTTGTCAGGCTTTGAAGGGAAGTGGAAAAGCTTTCTCTCTCCCTCTCCCTCCCTCCCTCTCTCTCTCTCTCTCTCTCTCTCTCTCTCTGTGTGTGTGTGTGTGTGTGTGTGTTTGGTGGCTGTTGCTTTGAAAGGATAATAGGACCTTAGGATGATAAATAGGAATAATTCTTTGATGATAAAAATGGTGCCAATATAAAGAAGAACCAAAAAAAGGAGAACAAGCATATTTCAACTGCTTTCTATTGCCAAGTACAGTGGTCCTCATGATACATGTACAGTTGCACTTCATGCACACGACAACATAGTGAAGCAGTGGGGGCTATGATCCTCATCTAAAGATGGAGTATGCAGCTGGAAGGTTTCTCCAGCCACACCTGGGGCCCCACCCACCCTGTGGTCCCACAGCCACTTATAAAATAACCATTCCAAAGCTTAATATTATTTACAAACTGTATGGCTTATGGCAGCCTTCTTGATAGCTGATGTGGATATCGCTCTGTATAAATAAAATGCTGATTGGCCAGTATCCAGGCAGGAAGTATAGGCGGGACAAGCAGAGAAGAGAATTCTGGGAAATGGAAAGCTGAGGCAGGGAGACGCTGACAGTTGCCGCCATGACAAGAGAGATGTAAGGTACCGGTAGGCCACGAGCCATGTGGCAACTTATAGACTAATAGAAATGGGTTAATTTAAAATGTAAGAACTAGATAACAAGAAGTCTGCCATGGCCATACAGTTTATATATAAGTCTCTGTGTGTTTACTTGGTTGGGTCTGAGCAGCTGTGGGACTGGCGGCTGAGAGAGATTTGTCCTGACCGTGGGACAGGCAGGACTGGAGAAAACTTCAGCTACAGATAGCTAGCTCTTTCATCTTAAATTAACACATTTCTATCAATCTATGTTTTGCTACATGGCTGTGGCATTACCAGTCTGTGAGCATCTTGCTTCTTCTTCCATGGCTGCTGACATCTCTCTCTCCTCTCCTTTCTTCTCTCTATCTGCTTGAATTTCCCACCCACCTCTAAGCTTCCTTGCCATAGGCTAATGCAGCTTTATTTAAACCAATCAGAGCAGCACATATTCACAGCATTCAGAAAGACATCCCACAGCAGGGGTAAAAACCTCCCAAGTGGAGAACCTGACTTTCAACCCAGGGCTGGCTAGCTGAATCTAGAACAGCCCCTTCCAGTGGTTTTTAGTGACTCCTATAGAAGCTTTTAGTACATTATATGGGCCCAGGACATAACAGTTTTATGGGGGAAGTAACCATGTGTAACACAGCTGAATAGACACACATGACTTTCTGCACTCTTTACATGACATTTTTCAAAATTTATTTGGGGATAGGTGTGAATGTCCAACTTTTCCCCTAAAATATCTAACACAAAAGAATATTAAGTGTTGTAAGGCTGAAAAGCTCTTTGTGCATCCAGTATTCTTTCACTTATAGTTACCTGGAAACAGTCTCCCAGCCCTGTAATAATAGGTGTCTGACCTTTAGCAGGGACTCTTGGTCCTTGCCTTTCTAAGTGACAGGAAGATTCAGGCTAGACTAATTAATCATAGAAGGATCATTCCACATTGCTGTCATAAAAGACACACTCAGCACCCTTCTTTTCCTCATCACATTTCCATCATGTAAGTAAATGTTTATGAAGCAGCACAAAATTCAGGAAACTATTAGTAAATGCAGTAGGACTTGAGGGTATACAGCAAGGTGGAATTCACTGGGGGATGTGAGAGGTTGGCATGTACAGATGATGTCCTGTGTCACTCTGGAGTTTGAAAGGGGTTCCTTGATGTATTATAATAATTAGTTAATTGTTGGGATGTTTTGAAACCCCACTGGCTTTGATACATGGAAATGCTAGAAAAAATGATTTGAAGCCCATTTTCCTTGATGTTGATATTTTCAGAGATAAATGATCATAGTCTGTTTCAGTTGTCAGCCTGACACAACCTGAGCCTGGAAAGAGGGATTTTCAATTGAGGAATTGCCTCCATTAGATTGGCCTGCCAGCATGTCTGTGAAAAATTTCTTACTTGCTAATTGATGTAGAAGAACAGAGGCCAATGTGGTCAGTGCCATCCCTAGGTAGGTAGGCCTGGGCTATATATGAAAAGTATCTGAGCAGGCCAGGGAGATCAAGCAGGCAAGCAGTGTTCCTCCATGTGCTGTGGGATGTTTTTCCTGGATGCTGTGAATATATGTTGCTACCATCGGTTAATAAAGAAGCTGTTATGGCCTATGGCAAAGCAAAATAGAGCAAGGTGGAGAATCCAAGCAGAGAGACAAAGAGAAAAAGGAAAGTCAGAGGAGATGCTGAGTGCTGACAGGGGAGCAGGATGTAATGGAACACAGGTAATGCCACAAAGTCATGTGGCATAGATTAATAGAAATAGGTTGAAGTAAGTTGTAAGAGCTAGTTAATGATAAGCCTGAGCCATAGGTCAAACAGTTTGTAATTAATATAAGCCTCTGTGTGTTTACTTGGAACTGAGTGGCTGTGGCACACTGGAAAACTTCTGGGTACATCTATGGTCTTTGCTTCAGTTCCTACCTGGAGTTGCTGCCTTGGCTCTCCTCGATGATAGATTGTAGTCTGTAAACTGGCATAAATGCTTTCCTTCCCCAAGTTGCTTTTGATGTGGTGTTTATCACAGCAACACGAACAAACCAGAACATATACTTTGTAAAGTCATGGCAACCATTTGTATGTTGAAATTTAAAAAACAAAACAAAACAAAACAAAAAAACCTAAGCAAACTAAACTAGGCTATCAACTGGAAGAGTTGTCTCTTCTTCAGGATGACTACCATGAAAACATGCCAGCATGACTCTCCTCACAGGTTTTACACAGTCTTTCCCACTGTGTGCTGAGGTTTTTGGGGATGCCTCATCAAGGGTGCCAGCCCTCTTAGGGACCATAGCTAATATGATTCTAGGATTCTGAAAATCCAGAAAAATCTCCTTGATAGAGAGGAAATTGTGAACTTTGACAAAGCCAAACAGTAAACACAAAAACACTGCTTCAAGTCAGATGTGCATGATCTGTGTGAGCTGTGAAATCCTAGTGTGCATCACAGAATGTAGGGCATGGCTGTTTGGCTCTTTGTTCATTAACAAAGTGTGAGTAATGACAAATAAAACATTTATTGTTTATTGCAGATTGTCAAAGTGCTGCAATTAATTTGGCTTCTTATTACACTAATTAAAATGTATCACGTTCTTTGTACTTCCATGGGCCAGGCTGAACAATAATAAACATCAATCCACAGTGACCAAGAAACCAGTTCTAAGCCCCCATGTTGAGTCTGAAGTAATTATCACTGAGCTAATATTCATTTCAAGTCTGAAATACTGGAGCACACTGTAACTCATGCAGGCAGTAGAATGTCAAATAATGATAGCATGCTAGGAAAACCATTTCCACAATTACAGGGTTCAAGGTCTGGGCACACAGAGGAAAACTATCTTCCTTGCTGCTTGGAAGAAGAAGGTACCAGAAATACCTCATTCTTCCATGATTGTGATGGCAGCAAGGTCTGAGGCATCAACCTGCCTTCAGCTAATCCTCCTCACGCTTTAGCTTTATTATGCATATGCATTAGAATGTAAAGGTTTTCATTACGTTGGATGCTTTCTGACATACCCAGTTTGAGCTTATTCCAACCATCATGTTCTCCTTCATTCACTGCCAGACTTCTTACAAAGACACTTCTCTCTCTCTCTTTCTCATATATGTGTATGCCTGTGTGAGATAGCTATACTTATTAGTGATAGGATAGCTCTGTCTATATGTAACTATATACCTATATAACTACGAGCCATATCCACAGCTATCAACTCTTCACCAGTCACTGTTATTTTTGCAGCCTTGCTTCTGTCCTGACAATTACAAGGCAACAGTTCATTTGAAGGTCTCTAATCTCCTAACAGACCAGGGCCACAGGTCATCTCATGCTGTTCCTATCGCCCTCTCCACACATGCTTCTCTGGTGTTTGCTCTCCATTCATACTCCTTGATTTGTCTTTCATTTTGGCTCCCAAAGCATGGTACCCCTTGCTTCTCCCTCCTGGGGCTGTATTTGGCTTCTTATTGCTGCCTCTTCCTATCCTTCAAATACAGAGCTGTCTGACGGTCCTGTCCTTGGACTTCTTTTCTGCCATCTTCTTCGGAGAGTCTCATCTAGCTTTATAGACTTGGTTCTCACTTTGCTATCAATGGCATCCACATTTACAATGCCTGCTTTAACTTCCTATGGATTCCAGTTAGTTCCTGATAGGTCTGCTACATGGCTCACAAATATCCTAAAAACTCAGGGTTTTGAGTGGATAAGGAAAGTGTGGTACAGATACAAAAGGGAGTTTATTTTATTTATGATTTTCTTACTTTTTAGTGTGGTATGTGTGAGGTGTACATGTGTGTGTGTGTGTGTGTGTGTGTGTGTGTGTGTGTGTATGTATTTGTGGATATGTATACACATGTGGAGGTTAGAGGTCAATGTCTAGCATCTTTCGAATTGCTCTCCACCTTATATTTTGTAAATTAAGTTTTATTGGGATGCATTCATGCCCAGTCACATACATATTGTCACCAGCTGCTTCTGCACTACACAGGAAGACTGAGGTGCTGTGGCATATACTGCTAAGCCTGTTCTGAAGTTTTATCAGCAGCCATTAAGCCCTCTCAGATTGAACCCGAAGATCAGTGATTCCGCTAGGCTCACTCACCAAGAAGCTTCAGGGATCCACCTGTCTCAATCCACCTCCCCCCGAAATCACTGGGGCTACAGGCGGCCACCACCACACTCACTTTCGACACCAGAGCTGAGGATTCAAACACAGGGCCTGATGCTTGTGGAGCAGACATTTTACTGACTGAGCCTCCCCTCAGCTTCGTAGTGGCATTTTCCTCAGCCGTGAAGAAAAATGAAATCATGACATTTTCCGGGGAATGAATGGACCTGGAAATCATTACCTTCAGTGAAATTTCTTGAACCCAGAAAGGCAAATAATGTTTTTTTTTTTTTCTCATAAAGGTTCCTTGGTTTTAGTTTTTATAAATATGTGTTTGGGGTGGTGTGTGTGTGTGTGTGTGTGTGTGTGAGCGCACGCTCGTGCAAAAAGGAATATAGGCAATGCAACTAGAAAGGAGACCGTGAGAAGGGGAAAGATGTCTTCAGGATGGAATGAAGGGAAAACTGAGAGGGTACAACGATACGTGTGACAGGACAGAAGGAGGAAACACAGTAGAGGAAGACGGGACCAGCAGGAGGGAGCAGAGGGAGGGGACAGGGTGGAAGACGGTGTGTATGGAAATACCACGAGGAAACGCGTTGTTTTGTACGCCAGTTAAAAAGGAACTAACAAAAGAGAGTCCCAAAAGTTTTCAGTGAACTGCAAGTTGTTTATGTGTTTAGTGTGGCCACGCCCCGGCCCCAGCCATCTGCGAGCAAATCCTTGGATCTATTTCCTTCCCATGACTCCTTCCATCAGTGTGCTTCCGTGCCTCGTTATCGTGGTGCCCGCTGAAACACCGGGTGCAGCCCTGTCCCTTTGTCTCCACAACTGCCCCTTCACACCAAACTTGTCTCCAAGTGTTCACTCAGGGATCTTTCTGACCGAACAGTCTCTCTCTGGCCCCACGCACGTCACAGAAAAAAGTTCACGCTTTTTTCCATAATCCAGAAAAGCTCACACCGGTGTTAGTGCAATTGCTCCAAGCTTTGAAGACCACAGGCCCTACGTACAAGAACATAATTTTCTTTTTCTGAGAAGTTTAACTTCCGATTAAATTCTAGCCCTCCTGGAAGAAGCATTTAGATGTGTGCAGATGCGTGTGCCCTGAGCGACGGGGCGTAGGGCCCTTGCTGGGGTTGCCTCGGGGGCCATCTTTCTTCACTCCATGTGCCACTTCTGGGCGCTACTTGCTGGCTGCAGCTGCCTTCACCTCCTCAGAGGCTGCAAGAGTGGAAGAGAGAGAGGTATTTTCTGCTCCCGACCCCCAGCCCCGTGTGATCACGGTGACAGAAGGATCTAGATACAAGGGCAACGTCTTCTGATCCTCAGCATTGTACCGCCCCGCCCCCACTTCCCGCTTTTCCTCTTCTGTTATGAATTCCAGGAATTTTCTGTCTTGGGGGCAGATGCAGCAGACTGGCTCTCGGGAAAATTTTCAGTAGGGCAGAACCCAGGTTATTCACTCCACTTCATTTTCTCTTCTCTCTGTCTCTGTGTCTCTCTCTGTATATCTCCGTCTCTGTCTTTCTGTCTCTGTTTCCGTCTCTGTGTGAGTGGACATGTGTGTGGTACTATTAAATGTAGAATATGATGGCTCATTTTCAAAGGTGTTTTAAGCCAACTTAGGTCCAGCTTCAAATGAACAGAAAACTCTAGACTTGCTAATGCCTGCTAGGTTAGCTGTTCCCACTGCCTCTCTAAACTCTGTTAAGCTCTTCACTACATGCATGCTGCGCAATCACACACTACACACACACATACAAATTAAGATGAACATTTTTTGTTTGTTTGTTTTTCGAGACAGGGTTTCTCTGTGTAGCTTTGCACCTTCCTTGGAACTCACTCTGTAGCCCAGGCTGGCCTCAAACTCATAGAGATCCATCTTCCTCTGCCTCCCGAGTGCTGGGATTAAAGGAGTGAGCCACCACCACCCAGCCTAAGATAAACATATTTTTAATTTTAAAGACATAATGGATTTTCTGATGAGTGTAGCAGTACTGAGCATAGGGATCTGATGGGTGATGCAGGCAGACAGTTGTTCATCACTCATACATGTCCACCTTTCACCATTGGTGAAGAGGAAACATGTGGAACAGATGCACAGGCTCAAGAGTGTCAGAGATATGGCCAGTGTGAAATGAACAATGGGCATGGGGGGGGGAGTAGTTTCCTCCCATAGACATTTACTTGGCAGAGCCAGCCACACTTGGGGGAAAAATGTTTCCAAAAATATTCCTTTAGCATGAGGAATTGAGTTTACCTTAGATATTAGTTCAAAATTACTGTATCAGTGTCCAACAGTAATCACGTTTCATCTGTCATCTGAATAGAGTAATGACAAATTGTTGTATGACATTTGTACACTGTGTAGAGGTGTATTGCTGTGATTAGTGCAATAAAAAGCTGAATGGCCAATAGCTAGGAAGAGATTAGGTGGGACTTCCGGGGACAGAGAGGACTCTAGGAGGAAGGGAGAGGCCAGGAGACACAGAAAAGAAACAAGGGGGTACCAGATGGAAGAGAGGTAATGTCATGTGATAGAACATGGACTAATATAAATGGCTTAAGTTAAGTTATAAGCGCTAGTTAGGAACAAGCCTAAGCTATAGGCTGAGCTTTCATAACTAACGAGAAGTTTCCATGTCATTATTTGGGAGCTGGCTGTCGGGACAGAGAAAGACTCATGACAAGAAATACTATGCTAGTCAGGCTCCTTCCTAGACACACTGCCTACAGGAGATATTCATTGATTCATTGGCAATACTGATTTTTTTCATTGTCTACTATGTATCAGGAGATCTGTCAGTTACTAGGTGACAAGCGTGGTGCACTTCAAAGCTTATCTATTAGCTCATGTGATGAAATTTAACGTAACACCAAGTCTGAACTTTTGAATGAGGAACTGACTTCTGACATTAAGATTTTGGTCTTAAGAATTATAAAAAAAAATCATTTAAGGTTTTTTTAAGTGAAATATTAAAGAGGTTAAGAGGTCTGCAGACAAACTATTTCCCAATTTATCAAAACTGAGCAGGACAGCCAGTGCTGTTATGAGGTTGTCTATGTCGATAAGGAAGTATTCTGCCTGTAGGGAGAGGCTGAGCCAAGTATGGATTACAGGACCTGACCTCTTGTGAGTTTAAGAACACTAGACCCTTGAACCTAAAGGTTCTATTTAATAAGTTCCTTAATACCTGAACAGTTAACTTTTTATCCCAGATGCAAATACATGAAGGCGTCTTCACACTGTAGCAAAGCATCAGACCATGCTTCTGTTCCCTCCATTAAGTTTTCCAGCAGACTATGTGTTGGGATCCTTCCCAGTAATTTCGCAATTCTGAATGTGATCCCCACCTGCTGAGAATGTGATCCTCTCAGCTAAACACTGAAAATGGAGGGTGCCCGTTTCTATGTAGCCTGTGTTGCAGAGAACCCCCTTTTCCATAAAGAAATGGCTTCTGTGGCTAACTCCTCATGGTCCGTCCCTCTCCTACAGGGATGGAGAAGGCTCCCTACTCTATTTTTTCCATCTTCTTGGTTGCACCCTGATTTCATGAACTCCAAGTTAATCCTTCTTTTCTTCCCAAGTATAAACAGGCTGACTTCAAACAGATTACAACAGGTCACAAGGTTCAATGGGCAGAGTAATGATCATCTAGATTACATTTCTAGGTCTGATGGGGTAGACAGATGTGAGGCTCGCTTCACCAGCACTCACTGTTAATCAGCAAGGCTGGTGTCTCCCAGCCTGGTTGCCTCTCCTTGCTTCCCACTGACTGTACCAAAGGCAGCTTTCTTCTCTCACACAGTGTCCATCCCTAAAGGACATGAAAGTCAAATGTGGCTGCTACTCAAACATGAGACGCACGCTTTTTATCTCTGGGAACTATCTGACTCCACTTGAAGTTCCCTGTCCCGAGTCCAACAGTTGTCACTGATGCTCAAAACCTGTTAAGGCTTAGGAGTTTTCATATTAAAGAACTCTCCTTTGCATTGATTTCTAGTGATATCTAGCAAAATTCTGTTGCCAACTGCATATTTTCAATTGTCTCTTGATTCTTTTTTAAAGCATTTAAAAATAATTTATTTATTTTTATCTTATGTGCATTGGTGTTTTTCCTGCCTGCATGTCTGTGTGAGGGTGTTGGATCCCCTGGAACAGGAGCTACAGACAGGTGTGAGCGGCTATGAGGGTGTTGGGAATTGAACCTAAGTCCTCTGGAAGAGCTGCCAGTGCTCTTAACCACTGAGCCATCTCTCCAGCTCCCGTTTCTCAATTTTTTAATGAAGAAATAAAAACCATGGAATTATTCTGACAAAGGAACTAAAATAACTTTACTAATTAAAATTAAAAAGGAAAGCAACCTTTGGGCACTGACAGACATGTTGTCCTGAGGAGCTTGTGCATCCTAGCATTTATAATTTGAATATGTGTGTCAGTTTCTTATCAAAGAAAACAACAGCATTTCTCCTGATACAACACAATGTTAGGATGCAATTAAAGCTAAAGCGTTGCAAAAGAATGAACTGAAACCGTTGATCAATATGCCCAATACATAGGAGAACATGATGTAATACCTCTTATATGTAAAATATCTCATAACTTACAAGAAGCTTTTGTGTGAAGTTTCATTTTATTTTCTAATAACAACCCAGTGAAATAGGTCTGGACCATGCATCATCTCTATTTTGCATATCTTAGCAATTTTCTGAGAAGTTAAGTGGCATTTTCAGTGTTACTGAGATGAAAAGTGAGAGAGCCAGCACAGATCCAGGCTTCGTGACAGCACATCCGGTTTATATATATGATACATACATAATATATGTGTGTGTATATGACAATATTTTGCAAAATATGGTCTTCTGAGGCAGTGCAATAGTAGTTTTTTTAAAACTATTTGCTCAAAGAGGCCCAATTGGCAGAGCTTATAAGTAAATTGTATTTACTTAAATTAGCCTTCTAAAATGAGCAGAATCAGATGCACTGAACTTATTCAATAAGAGAGAGGTTGATTATCAAAATGGCCACATTCATTATACTATTTCCAAAATCTTTGCTAGCTGTAAATATTATGAAGTTTACAAAATCCACAGATATATGAAATCATATTTTGGGTTGATGCAGAAACTAGAAAGCTAGGAACTCAATGGAATATGAATGATATAAATAAAAAACAGAATCAAAAGAAATGGTTGACTATCACAAATTCTTATTTTACAATATTTTAAAAGACTTTTTCTGAATTATTGTAGGTTAACTAACTCCCATACACAAAAGAGAAAGAAAGGAAGGAGAGAAGGAATTTAAGAGAGGGAGGGAGAGAGGGGAAATAAGGAAAAACTTAGAAACCAGTTTAGACCTTATGGGAAGGTGACATGGGACATGAGCACACTGTGAACCTCATTGAGAGATTTCCAAGGTTCGGAGACAGACTGATGACTGGGGAATTAAAGTATTGACATTAATTCTAAGAAAACCTTTTTAACAACACAAAAGTAGTCATATGCTTATTAAACACTGAATCATTCTTCCATGATTAAATACTAAAAGAGAACAAAGATTGTTTGAAAATATCTATTCAATATAATGATCTCAAACATAAATCTACTTCACTAGTGAATATATTTTATTTTCATTTCTAATCAATTTGATTTTTTAAAAAATTATGTTTATGTTTGTATGTCTGAGTGTATGTGTATGTATGTTTGTGTTCAGAAGCCTGACGAGGTCAGAGAGAGTGTAGGACCCCCTGTTGCTGGAGTTACAGGCAGTTGTGAGCTGCCATGTGGGTGCTGGAATAGAACCTGGGTCCTCTGCAAAAGCTACATGTTTAACCTATGATCCACCTCTCAATTCCAGGCTTCTTTAATTTTCAAAGTCTGAGTAGACAAAATGTAGCTGTTCCTTAAAAGAGTTTTTTTCAAAACTAGACATAAACATCAAAACAAACAAAATCAAGAAATCCTACTACTGAATATTTCAGTAATCCTAAATCCAACACATTGGCTGGCAGGTCTTGTTCTTCACATTTGGTGAACTTTTCATCTCTGCTTTTGTTCATTTTTTGTTTTAATATACTTAAATTATATTTGACAAAAGCAAATAAAGCTAAACTAGTAATTTGTGTCATAGAAACAATCATTTGAATACTCAGTGTGACATTTTGGTTATGAAAATTATGGATGTCTTTGAAATTTTTGAAAACTTCAAGGAAAAAAAACCAGAAGAATATCTTTATTGTTTGGAATCACATTGGAATATCTGGACAATGTTGAGATAGGTAATGAATAGGAACACATTGTATTATAAGGTTTACAGTCAAGTTATGGTAAGAACCACAGCAAAGACTGTGTCCATTTTCCATTATATAACACATACCTGGGCTAATCAAGTCATACAGACGAAAAGTATATATATAGCTTTGGAGGTTTCAGTTGGTGGTTGGTTGGCCCTGTTGTTTTGGACTTACGATGGTCTTACGTGGCTGGAACATGTAACAGTACAAACCTGCCTAGCACACAGCCAAGGGATGACAAAGAAGAGGAAAGACCAGAGCCCCATACTCCCCTTCAAGGGCATGGCTCACACAAGCTAAAACCTCCCATAAGGCTCCATCTTCTAATGGTCACATCACTTCTCAGTAGGGCCAAGCTATGACCTAGCTTTGTTAGCATTCAGGTCTTTGAGGGATACTGCAAAGTCTAGCTACAGCAGGTGTTTCATTTGCTTTCTGGAACAGTACTTGTCTGGTAATAGTAACTAAAAACTAAACTTTCAGATGCAGAGACAGGGCTTTATGAGGGGCTAAGAAATAGCCTTTCCTAACATCAGAAAAACGGAGCACAGAACTGGTGTCAGAAGGGAATGCATGTGAGCGACATGAACCTAAAAGCATTATATATATAATATAATATATCATATACCATATAATATAACATTACACAATACGTTGTTATGCAATATATTATGTAATATATGTCACTACAGAATGCTAATGATGTGTTCAGATTATATAATACGATCATATTATATAATCATGTTATACATTACATAAATTTTAGGCATATATTAATATAGTATTATATCAATATAATATTATATTAACAAATATAATATCACACTAATTAATAGATTAATTAAATATTATTACTTAAATATTGATCACTCTATTGATTAAATAAATATATTAATGAACATATAATATATTAATATAATAAGTATAAAGATATAATATATAACATAATATTAACATATGTTATATAACATTAACTATTATATGAATAACAAATGCATGCATATTATATAAATGACATATAATCATATTATATAAACACATACTACTACTAATTATATTATACTATATATTACACACACACATATGCAGAAGCAGAAACTTTCTAGACATGTAAAGAACTGGCCCCAAGGTCTAACTGAACCAGCACATGAGTTGGGCCACTGATCTGTTTCAAGAAGTCTCCATAGAGATGTCAATGCATGTCCCAGGTTGAGAATCAACAGCATAAGGAAGAGCAGACAATGAAGAAGGAGAGCGAAGGCAGCCAAGGACAGCAGGGGCAGCTCTGGACCCAGTGGCCCTGTTCTTTAGAGGAAGGGATTCATAAACCTC